CAGGTAGTCTCAATGACATAATTTATTCGCATAGTATTCGAAAGTCGAATATTATTCGAGAACCGAATAATATTCGAAATTCGAATAATGGTATTCGATATTCGAATCTTATTCAATTCGAAAACTTCCATTTTCGAATAATATTCGATTGTCGGATATTCGAAAACTTCGATTTTCGAATAAAATTCGATAGTCGAATATTCGAAGTTTTCAATTTTCGAATAATATTCGATAGTCGAATATTCGAGAATTTCGATTTTCGAATATTATTCGATATTCGAATATTCGGAAAAAATTTCGGATTTCCCAAAGTATAATGTAGAGCATTTCAAATCGCGCAATAGAGGACCATAAAAGGATTGTTGTGGAGATGATCATGATTGATGTAAAGCTGCATTATCTGATCTCTCACTTATGCGCAATGAAGAACAAAGTCTCAGCGATAAGCAGCGTGAAATCTCCGAGAGTTTTTTTTACTTACATTCGGAACCCCAACTATGCCGTTTCGGCTTTAAGGCATTCATTTTTTCTGAGCTCAGTGCTACTTTTGCTTATTTATTAAAGAAGCCAAAATTGCTGACAATGTTAAAACAATTCCTGCTACTTGTAGATTGACGATGTCTTCAGTACTGGAGTTGTTGGAGCTGCTGCAGGCGTAAAGTATCGGATGATCAACTTTCAGCACAAAGGGAATCACAGCGCACTGATAAATGGGAAGGTTTTGTTCATGTCAGTCAAAAGAAATGCAGATCCAGAGTCGATATTCAATGCGGTCAATTGGAATAGATCTCAGAATTAAGGTTATGCTTAGATAAATACAGAATTGTTGCCATATTATTCCGAAAGTGTTGTAATTTTTAGTGAACAAGTTGCTGCTGAGATAACAGTTGTATTGTGAAGACAATAATAAATTGCACGCGTCGGCAATTGAAGCTACTCCATTTCCATAAAGGCAGCTTCTGTGCAGTGTAAACATGTGAAAACGGGCGTACTTTGAGGAAAAGATAAAGAGCTTTCGTCAATACAGCTTGTCTTAGTCGTGACCCTCGTTCGATTGACACATTTTCCTTGTCCGCAAATCGCTTACTTACAGCGGAGAAAGTTGTTTTGAACACTTACGTCTTATGCGTGCTCGTATGTATTTGAATTCTGTCAAGTTGCGCACTGATATTGTTTTTGGATTAGTTTCTTCATATTTTGTGTTATGACGACGAGTGTCGTAGTGGTATGAGGCGCCGCTATGACCAGATTCGAACCCCGCCCCTGGGCCAACCAAGCCCTCTACCCTCCTGGGCCGGTAAATTGGTACCAGAGTAATCTAGGAGGATAAAAGCACTGACTTGGTAATCGGCTGGCCCCCGCAAGTCCCTGTATTAGGTACTCTCACACGCATACAGTTGCCTCTTCGACTATAAAGTAGTGTGCGTTCGGCGCACGCCCGCAGAGGGTATTGAAGATGGCGAATCCTTTATCCTTTATTTATTTATTTTGTGTGGTAATTGATGAGATGTACATGCATGTGGAGCTCTCAATCTTTTTTAAAATTCTTACTGCTTTTGCAGTTTGAGATAACTAGGAAATTTTTGTTTTGAAACCAAAAATTAAGTGGCGAGAAACCATTTTCGGCACCTATATAGTTCTATGAGGTACACACCTAGAGTGTGCATACGCAAAACTGATTTTTCAAAGTTCAGGAATGATCATAACTTATAATAACGGGCTAAGGTTGTTTACGTGTTTTTGTGTGTGTGTATGTGTGTATGTCTGTGTGTCTGTCTGTAACGAAATTCGTAGAGGGAGTTCCAGCCAACGTCCTGAGCCCAAATTTTACACATCGCATGCGACCAACATAAGAGCCTACCGTGCAAAAGCACGAGTGGTTTTGTTGGTTGGATCTTTCAGAAACTGCGCGTCAAACGAAACCACTTAGGTTCTGGCCAGCAAAATTGCTTCCATATCACCACTTTTTGCAAAGTCGGTGATGTGTTTGGCATGCTGATATGCAAGCCATGGACTTAAGTCCAAAAAAGTGGACAAAAGTTCGCTACTTTAGGAGAACGACGCCAAAAAGAAATGGTTGCGTAAATGATTAATTTGCCATGGTTTTACCTGAGCATTCGAGAAAAATTTTGCATAGAGATGTAGCTCACGTTGCCTACTGTCCTTATGGTAGCTACCAAGCCAGAAAGATTCCAAAAACCTATTCAAATTTGTATTTGTTCTCCTGCGAAAAGTTTCATCCACGCGAAATCACCGATCTCACATGAAAAAGCATTTTAAATGGCTAGTGATTTACATTTTACTCGCGATAATCGGCACTGCGCGGTGAGTTTCATTGCCACCTTTAGTCAAGAATGAGTAAGGTATATGAAGTAAGACCAGTGCGAGCCTCTGCGAAGCAGAGGTGACGCACTGGTGTTCTATAATGGGAGAAAATGAACCTTCAAACCCCATTTTATCCGTTCGCGGGAGAAACTGGAAAGGAATCTGCTATCGCTCGCGTTATTTAAGATTTTTTAAATCCAACCGCAGCCACGAGGAGAAGCCGTGTAATGAAAATAATTCAACCCTACTTGAGCTCTCGTCAAAGAAAAGAATCATGCGGAAAGTCCATTTAGAATAGGTTAAACTGGAAATTATCATCTATATATATATATATAAAACTCAAAAATTGTCAGTTTGGAGGGTATGTGCGTTATAGAAACGCGCGCCACTCAACCGAATAAGCTGAAACTTTACACACATATGTTTTCGAGCCTTGCGCAGATGATAGGCTACTTTTTGCAGCGATTCGTTGGGTCCTTCTATCGATTTATTGATTTGCAACACTTTGCAATAAAAATGATTCTTATCATTTGCCATCAAAACAGGGGTATGTAAACAAGGCTGGCATGTCTCATTGTGAACTTCTGTTGACGAAGTGCAGTGAAAAGTGTTCTTGATGTATGTCTCAATTGCTCATTTAAATGGACGCACCAAATGTATCTTATGCGGAAACCTTAACGTGCAAAAGACCATGAGTGCTTTGTAGCGAGTGTTTTGTACGGAAGCGTGCTCAATTTACGCTTATAATCAATGCTTTCTTCGTTACATGCTCAATTTAAACAATGAGGGGTCAAAATTTTTCATGAGATTGCGCACAAATTATTTGTCAATACTAGAAATAATGTCAAGACAAGCGACAACTCACATTCGCTATAGTTGATCCCTGGGACCAGGAAAGTGCGCGAGTGCAAAGTACTGCCGACTCCACAAAAATTGACGGCAAGCAGTGAATGAAGATGAAGTAGCCGGTTAACGGCAAAGTGTCACAAAAAATGATCCTCATAATAACAATGAGCGCTGCTATCAATTAACTCGCGCTGCTTGCTTAGGTTTTGCGTGTTGAACTTGATTTGGAGAAAGAGAGATGCTGCCGACCAATAAGTGTTCACATTTTGTTTTTGTTCTTTACACAGTTTCTACAATGCCACCGAATACCTTATCTTCATTCCCGATCAGTGATCATTCCCGGGCTGGACCGGGCAGATCAGCTAGTAACTTATAATAGTGGGCTAAGGATGTTTACGTGACTTTGTGTGTCTATGTGTCTGTGTGAGAGTGTGTCTGTTACGAAATTCGTAGAGAGTGTTCCAGCCAACCTCCTGGGCTCAAATTTTGCACAGCGCATGCTACCCGCATGAAAGTCCAACATGCAAAAGCACGAGCAGATTCGTTGAGTGGATCCCTCAGAAACTGCGCGTCAAACGGATCCACTTTGCATTTGGGCCGCATAATTGAGTCCATAATTCTACTTTTCGCAAAGTAGTGGATGTTTATGCCAAGTAAAAGTGCAAATCATGAACTTAGACCCAAAAAGTGATCAAAAGTGTATTATCTCAGAGAAACGGCGCCAAAAAGTATTGGTTGCATAAATGGTCAATTTTCCAACGTTTTACCAGAGCATTTAACGAGATTTTTGCACAAAGACCTAGCACACGGTGGCTGCCGTTCTTATTGCAACTGTCAAGTCCATGGGAAAATCAAAAACCTGTAAAAAATTGCATTTGTTCTCCTGCAAAAAGTCTCATCCATGCAAAATCACCGATTTCACATAAAAAGCTTTCGGAATGAGTAGTTGTTTACATTTTGTTCGTGATAGTCGGCATTGCTCGGTGAGTTCCAATGCCATCATTATGCGAGAATGAGTAGGGCCTAGATAGTGGAGCCAGTGCGGGCCTCTGCGAAGCAGAGGTGACGCACTGGTTTCTATTATAAATGGACTTGAAAGCACATTTTACTCCCTGCAACAAGGTAAGCTTACCCCATCTTCGAAATTTTAGTCGATTTTTGAGTTTTTTGTGCGTCTCCTTAGCTCAGTTGGTTGATAAACGAGCGGAAAAAGTTTTACCTCTTTTGTGAAGCCAAAAAAGTGAGTTTTTTTCAAACAGCTCTGTATCGCTCAAGAATCAACAGAAAAATTTCTTTATGGATAGTATTCACTACCAAATCTGCTGGCTTTCAAGTTGCTCAAAAAATCATTTGAAAATCATAGAAATTATTTGGTTGCAAACGATTAGAAGAAAAAGAGAAACTCTAAAGAGTTGAGTAAGATATGTGAACTTGGTTTACCTAAGCAAATCATGACATCCTTTTTAGCCATTTCGTAAAAGTCTCTAGGCCATTTGTTGAACCTAGTTGTTAAAAGCATAGCGATAATTGTATAATACGATTCGTGGACTAAGAGGATTTTTTAAAAGCTTTCAATAATCAATTCTGCATAAGCTTATGTCAACGACTGGTCTTTCACCATTCTGCATCTACAGAAACAATTTTTTTATTTCAAAAATCTATCGAGACAAAGCGTTAAATGGCTGATTTATCAAAGGTATATCCAATTTGAAAAGGCGGCTGGAAGTAGCCCTGTCTCTTTGCTATTCAACTCCAAACCTTAAGCGCATATTTATTGATAAAGTCAACAAATTGTTTACTGTAATACATGTGATGATGCTGAATCACGTTTACTTAACATCTCGTACACTTTCTTGAGTGAAATCCGTCAAGGAAATGGCGGTAGGTGCTCGTGGTTTGGCCACAGTGGACTCGTCAATTGTATCAGGATTGTACTGAAAAAGACTTTTGAGTCAGGAATGCCTACTCAGGATATGATTCTTTGATACTTACACGATCTTCTCTCGAATAATGAATGTGACCTTTCGATGTACCAAGCAATCGAGCAAGGAGTCCATCGAGGAATATGAGCAGCCAAAAGTAGAGAAACAGTCCCAGAAAAGTCTGTAGGTGGAGCACCTATCTTTTTTTCAAAACGATACGGACAAAAGTGAAAAACTTACACAAATGGCTGCTATAGGCAAATCCATGCTAATCTTCTTAAACCTGCCTTTTTCGAGTTTTCTACGAAAATGAAACATACTACCATTTCTGATGAAGAACCGACCCATTCCCTGATGTGATTATAGTGCATAGAGCTATAATCGCTCATGGAATAGGGCGGCTCATTTTTCCTTAGTTATAAAGAGTGACTACCAAAGACCCTACACTTTAGCAATCTTTGAAAAATTCCTCAACACCAAACTTTCCGCGGCATTTTCAACCTGACCAAAATCAGCTGTAGTGTGGATTTTGGCAAAGGTTGAAAAGGTCGCATGAAAAGATTTAAAAATAGATTTTGAGGCTTTCATCCCACCAAAACCAATCAGGCTCAATTCACACAATAACCGTTGAAGTTTGAGGTGACTGGCTTAGGTGGCTTCAAGAAAAATCGAATTTTCAGTGGCTCATTCAACATCAGGATATTTCATATCCCGGTACAAATTTATTGTACAGGAGATACAAACATCCGGATGTTGAAAGGCCTCGTCTCTTGAAAGGTGAATAGAAAAGCCATATCTAGGGAAGGGGTCCTTCTCTGCGACAACACATCTCTTCAATGCTATTGCTGAAGAGAAATGTATCCCAGAGAAGGCTACCACTTAGGGTTTGGTTTGTAAAAAAGTTCGACATCTCCAATCCATAACCAAATCCAGACGTTAGGGAGGATTTTTGGTGGGATTGAAGACGTCGATAAGAAGTTATAGCAGGCTTTGGTTTCGAGAAAAGAGAAATCATTTGCAAGGAATCGAATAGAAGTAATTACAAGACTTAGCAAATAGCTGGAAGCATTAGAGCATTACCTTCAGCTACTAAAGGTGGAACAAGCAAGGAGCTAGCTCAAATGTTTGGGATGAATTTGGAGGACTCCAGGGATACAGCCAGCTTCTCCCGCACTACTTGCGACAAAGTGATCCCGTAACATCCGTTTCACACACAGTTTGTGAATAATAGTGTGATTCAGACTAGTCGCTGCCGCTCTCTTCAGAAGTAGCTAACGGGAGATACATTAAAGTACAACATGAATACGGTAATCCGCTAGGAAGGGGCCATGTGAATTCCAGGCAGAAGACCTGACTGCATCTCATGGACGATGTAATTTTGAATCATGGAACAACTTTTATATGATTTTTACATGATCCGCCCTTGCTGTCATGAGCTTTCGCATCCAGGAATGATATCACCTGAAATGTCATCCCTCGTCTCATGAACTTCGCATTGCACAAAGTACGGTTTGCATGCAAAGAAAAGAAATTATCCCTAGGTTTCAATATTTCTGCAGACAAATTTTATTTATTTTTATAATAAAAAATCGATTTGAGAGCTTTAGTTCAGATCAGCACACATAATCTTAGTCAGAAGTTGAAGCTGCCTCTGTTCGGCTTGCTAGTTTTTCTTTGAATTTTAAAACGTAGAACTTGATAGCGAACAGCATCAAAGGGCTCAGCAGCGCATAGATTAATAACATAAAACCAAAGCGCTTCATTCTAAACATAAATCAATTACTTTTAGGTATAGATCAATTCCAAATGATCTCCTCTCCTAATTTTGAGTCCGCTTTTTCAAGAATTTGTTTCTTTTGATCTGACCACTTTCTCCTAATACTTTACGTTCAACGTATGGCTTTTGGGCATGACTGTCGCTCCATTCCAATTCGTTCTGCCCAAGAAACTGGTATTATCCCTAATAACTACCCTTTTCTTTGTGGATGCCTACTGTATATTTTCTACATTATGAAAGCTACGGAAGATAAGGTGACCAATCACGATTGGGATAAATAGGTCACAACGTTCAGACCAACAGAACTCGATGTAAGTCTACAATGATCCTCCAGAAGTAAAAAATTTGGAAATGTCACATTTTGAATCTGAAGCAGGGATGTATTGATTTTCTATTTCGAGATTTTCAAATAATGACTTCAAGTTCTTGTTCCATAGTTGATACCTTTCAATGTGACGTTCGCCTTTGAACGTTAGCCTATACGGCCTTGCAAATTTTAAAATATGCAGTTCTCAGCATCAATCGATGGTTCTTATGTTTTCCCATGTCTAAGAGCTGTGTGGTACAGATTCCAAGTATTTGTGTTCGTTTCGTGTTTTTCATTGCAGTGTATAAGTTCACAATAGCCACGATTCGTGCGATATGATATCTGCTCATGTGCTTATCAAATGTCATTTTTCGCTATCCAGTGGTGATTCACGGCTTCATCACTCTGCGATGTTCAGATCTGATTGAACGGAAAATGACGATTCGAAATGATTTGTTCGGTTTCATGACCTCTTCAAAAGGTTTTGGTGCAACTGCAGAAATTTTACATGATCCGAGTCGAGAAGTGCAAAAAAATTGAAGCCGTCTTTTTAGTTAGTGAAGAGAATGAATTAAGAGTAACAAATTAAAGATTCTTCATTTTCAATCTGCTAGAAAGTGAGCAAGTGTGCAAACTGTTTTGAAAGTGATATTTTACTAGGTGAGTCAACTCATCGGATTCTCATTTGTCAAGAAGCCATAGAGCGTCCGTTTTGAGAGTTTTGCTCTTTCAAAGCCCAAGCTAAATAAAAACTTTCGTACATCTCGGTGTTTCTCACTTGTCGACTTTAATTAAAAATTGTCCTCATAAGATCTTTCCCTTTACATGAAAGATCTCAAAAGGATAATCGAATTGTCCATTGCTGCATTTCTCGGCGATGACTTTTTGACGATTTCGAAAATTCAAGATTTGCCGCTTCAGATAATGGGGGGAATATTGATGACATTCTGGTCGACGTCACCAAAAAACGCTCTCTTTATTTTCTCCAGTTTCCTCACATTTTCACCTTATTTACTTTTCTTGACCCCCGACAAACACCATCGCAAAGGTTTTTTGTCTATAATTCTGTTGAAATGATATCTATCTAGCATGAGCTTCTTTGCCAAAAATATTTAATCCATACTAGCCAATCTGATACTTGTCTTACGCTATTCACCGCACTGGATCAATACTGTTTTTGGGGAAAACAATTTTGCATAAATTCTGGGTCATATTGTTTCGATAGAGATTTGCAAACGATTGCATTTTTTGTGAACAAAATCACTGCATAGACCATCTTTTTTGGAGATCTTGGCCAACTTTTCAATGTTTTTTTCTCCAAAATTAATAAAGACTGGGGTTAGTATTTTTTGTAGCAGGATGTACAAATTTCTAACTAAATGAATCCCCGATATCATCGCTGAATTTTTGTTTTTCCCATCTTGAAGTAATTTTTTGCATTATCAGGTTAAAGGGGTGCACAGACCTTTGCCTGATGGTGTAGCGGTGTTATTGTACTGTGTCCAAGACATAAGTAATTATAAATTAGTTTATTATATAAGTTACATAAAAGGAGAGGAAAAGGGGGGAAGGGTAGACTGGTATGAGGATGACCAGCCAGGAGAGGGAGTGTGTGTAAGAGTTATTCATGCTGTCTTTTATACTCGTACAACAGCAACTGTGTCGTAGGCGGGGTGGCGTGTCCAGTAAACAGTGGAAGCATGACGAGGCATAAGATATGGTGAAATGATATCCCGACATCTCCATTCCTACGGTAAGCTCGTCCTCGAGCTTGTTGAAGATTGATTGAAAAAAGTGTTGCTCTTGTTGGCATACCAAGGTAAGATTAGGTGAACTGTTGAAGCAGTCACGACCTTCTCTTTACCCCGGATGGTTGAGGAAGCTCGTCCTCGAGCGATGAGAGAGTGTAGAATGGCGTTGACGTCGTCGGTGATATTGTCGAAGTGACGGCCATGGTGTCATGCATTGCAGTGGCAGTAGTTGGGGAAGTTGAGATTTAGGTGACAGGCATTATTGTTGTACAAAATATAAGTCAACAGTCATGTTTAGTAAGTAAATCGTAAACATTACATAAATACGAAAAATGTTGAAGTGTTGCACAGGGGGACGAATATATTGGTACAATATTCGGTGTAGTGAAAAAAAAACGTCAAGTTTATGATAATGGATTGTAATTTACAAACGAAGTACTCTCTATTTATTTATTTATTTATTTTCTTAAAGGGGGGACTTGTTCTGAAATGGCACAATTTCGCCAAATCAGTGCAAGGGCGAAATTTGTAGTAGAATAGTACGGAAAAAAAATTTTTTTTTTTTAATTTTTTTTACTAGGGCTGCTTAATAGAGAAAAAAAAATTTTATTTCTGTGAATCGCCAATTCAAAGAAATTATGTATGTTTTTAGCGCGGTTGCTGCATGAGAAAAAAAAATGGAGAAGAAAGAAAAAAAAATTCAAACTTACTTGCTCTGTTAGTCAGAGAGATAGGTTTCACAGTTTACAGTTCTTCAGAATCTGTGCTATCGCTGTCCAGATTCTGGCTGTGGAGCTGTAAACTTTCAGGGCGACTAACAGGATGTTCGTCATTTGATAATGTTTCCGAGGGTATTGGTGAGTTTTGAATTGATTGATGGGAAACGTTATCAAATGAAAAACGGGAACAATAGATTTTCAATCTATTGATATGAACAGTTTGACTGTTTTGTTTACCAGTCAAGCTTTTGATAGTAACATTAGGACGATTTACGCTTTCTACGAGGTAAGGTCCTTTCCACTGAACTGAGAATTTTGGCCTGACAGTATCGTCGTGTAATAGCACAAGATCTCCAGTGGAAATTTCCTTCGTAAAAACTTTATGCTGAAAATCGTATCCTGCTTTGTACCTTGCGGCTTTTTCTGCAAGTTGCTTTCCTACTTCCGTTATAGTTGTTTGGAGCGCAGTTGTGAGTTGATCAGCAAAGCTATCCGAAGCATACGAAATTCTGGATGGAAGTTGGTGCACAATGTCGCACCAAGTTATGGGATGTCGTCCATAAGCGATGAAATATGGGCTGTGACCTGTGGTGTCATTAACGCTGGTATTATATGCGAAAACAATAGGCTGAAGAAAATCAGACCACATATCGCGTGCTTCCGAACAGTAAGCCGTAAGGGAATCGGTGATAACTTTGACTAAACGCTCAACTTGCCCATTTGCTTTATGATTATAGCTGGTTGTAAAAGAGTTTGCAATTCCCAAAACGTGGTTGATTTGAGCGAACATTTCA